ACAGCTGAACAGCATTCAGAGTTCATATTTGTACTAGAACCCAAGGTCTAGAAATCTCATCAACAAAGTTTGAATGGACTTCAGATTGAACAGGATAATTAATACTTAGTAGCATTTGTTTTCCTTCTTTTGGCTTTAAGTTTATTAGCACATTTCAAATGCTGAATGTACTGCTTATAAGCATGAAGAGGCTTTTGGCTGTTAGTTAAAGCATTGCAGCTTGTCTGTTCTTTGGATTTGTACTTTTAAATGCATAATATTTATAGAGAGCTCTTAAGTTATTTAATGTCTTTCACTCAGTTCACACACTTGTAGATGTTCCTTTTCCTCGGTGAAAAAGAGAACTTCACAGCTTGGAAGTGTTGCTGTATTTCCTGTCTGGACTGATCAATTCTCAAAAGAGGGCAGTAACCCAGCAGCTGGAGCTTATCCGGGGAGGGGAATATTTGTTCAAATGCAGTGAGGTCTTTGCCACAGGCTGAATTATTTGTTTGAACTTGACTGACTCCTCCCTCTGATCACTCTTCTCCAGAGTTCCCCCTTAGGAACCCTGTTTTGTGGACACGTCTGAGATTGTGGCATGTTCATTCAGCCTGAACTGAGCTGTGCTGCCTACAAACTAACATTTTGTATGCATGTTATCTTAAATGTATGGAGAGAATCCTTGAACTTTTCCTTAGGGTCTAACCAGTTTGTTGGCAGAAAGGATATAATGTCTTTAGGTAAAACAAAGCATCCCACTCTCCACTGCCCGAGTTCAAGGTACTGGAAAGAGATGGAACAGCAGCACCATATGTTTCTGTGATAATGCTGCTTCCTAGTGCTGTAGGGGAACAGCTCTTGGCTCGATAGCTCCCTGCTGAGACCCGAACAGAAAGCTGTGAGTGATGAAGCAGATCTAGCAGGGTCGTTTTGTGCATTTGCTACCTCCAGCAAAGGTTTCTGTGCAAAGGAGACAAATGCATGTCAGCTGCCCTCTTGGTTCTTCAGGTGAATCATGACCCTGGCTCCCAAACAGTCCCGAGTCTTGGCTAAGGACTTGGTAAGTGAGATGGACTCCTGCATCATGTTTATCAACCCTTGGTATAGTAAATTTTTTAACTTTTTCCAGCTTTGCAATAAATCTGAAACCAAGTGACTCAAAGGACATTGCATTACATCTGAATCCCCGAGTGAAAAATAAAGTTTTTGTGAGAAACTCCTACCTTCATGACAGCTGGGGAGAAGAAGAAAAGGAAGTTGCCAACTTCCCTTTCAGTCCAGGGATGTACTTTGAGGTAAGATTAGCTGAAACACAGCATCAAACTGGAAATTCTGCCAAAAGGATTAGCATTGGTGTTTAAATGTCATGTCACTAATACAGATTTAAATAAAACTGCCATTCCGGCATTTCAGTGTCTTGGGAATATTTAGGATTAAATAGGACCAGAGAGAGCAGAGATATGAGACTGTTTTAATGACAGTTTTAAGTAGTTGCAAGAATTCCACCTGTGCTCAGAACAAATTTTAATTGAATTGAGTTGATGATTCTTATGGGCCCCTCCCACTTGAGTTATTCTGTGATTCTATTAAGTTTATTGAAGTTCCACTTTTTATAATCTTACTTCTGCATGAAACATTCTCTGTAATGTTTCAAGTCTTGCACAAGTCTAGGCTAGGCCATCAGATTGTTTTTCATGTCTTACCTGAGCTTAAACTTAACTGCTACTTGTCTTGCTTTCCAGATGATCATTTTCTGCGATGCCTCCCAGTTCAAAGTTGCTGTTAATGGTGTTCACACTCTGGAGTACAAGCATCGCTTCAAACAACTTGAAAAGATCGATGTAGTGGAAGTCACGGGAGATGTTCACTTGTTAGATGTGAGGAGCTGGTAATTCTTTTCATTCAGTACTGAAAGAATTAAACCTCTTCTAATGACAGTGCCTCCTTGTCAGGTACAAACAGGTGCTGTCTCATGCTGAGCCTGCCTTTATCTGCCTAGGCTTCTGCATCTGCCCCTCTGAGTTAGGCGAGTAGCAGGATTGCTAACTGTGAGACTAAATCCTCCTCTAGTTTACAGTTTCCTGGCAAGCTAAATAATGTTTGCTCAGATAAATCTCCTGTATTACTCAATCTAGCAATATGAAAATGCTGCATCATACTGTGTCTAACAATTGCACTCGGTATGTCTAAGTTAAATTACTAGTCACCATTCCTCAATAGCATATGTTCCATATTGTGAAGTAGAAACAAGACTGAAATAGGATCCAAAGATTGTTATCCACCTCAAAAGGGATGTTGATAATTTATTTAAAGTAGAACTATGAAATACGCTCTTCTACTTTTTAGTTTATATTAGCACCTATAACCTTTCCACTGAGGCTGGATATAGCAGTTGGCCCATTATTTCTAGTGAAAGGCAAGGAGTTTGACTTTACTTCTTAGCCTGCTGCTGCAATAGTACCTTCTCTGACATTGGTGGTTATGTCACTTCCTGATTATAAGTGGCCTAACATGTCTGGCTTTTAGTTTTCTACAGTGAAACAGAGGGAAGGGATTTAGCTGGATCCAACTGTGTGCACTTTTGAAAGCTTGTGTGATCTGAAGTGGCTCCTAGCTGCTTAGGGCCTGAAGTAGATGGTTGTGGGTTTAATTTTAAAAACTATGTGTGAACCCATGTACTCCAGGCATGGTTTCAGCTGAGAGGGCATTCCACTTATCAGTGGACTAGAGAATTAATCCTTTTTCAGTCTTGTAGTATAACACTCTCTGTGTATTAGGTGTTTCTATTCAGTTTTCTGTACAAATGTCAGTCTTAATTTTTATATTCTTTTTAAAAAATAAGTTGCTATCAAGATCATCAAGAAAACTGCCTGTTAATACTTGCCTGAAGGATGTCCTTATTTATCTCAAGAGCTGCTGAAAGTAAAGCAATTCCAAGAATAACATATACACTAAAGACTGTTAAATTACCAGATTTGATGTATAAAGAGCATAAATAAAACCATCTGTGAACCCTGCTTTTTTTCAAGTGTAGCTAAGTATACATTGTCCTATATCTTGTCTTGTTTTGCTTATTGTCTTGGCATAGCGAGACTGGAGAACATTTACACATCAAGGAATCTGTGATCTACAGACCAGTTAACTGGAGTAGGCATAGGCCTAGGCCTTGGCTGTGCTGGTGTGGCCCTCAGGACAGCATTGTGCTGTATGTACCCTTTGGCTGCAGGATAAACTTAGCTGGCTGATTGCAACAGCAGCTGGTAGACAGCTCCTAATGACAGGTACAGCACTTGTGCATCCTTGCCTTTGTCCAAGAGTAAAAAAGAAGTTCTCTGAATGTCTTTTTGTTTGACAGCAGACATGATTAATGGTTGTATTCTGTTAAGAGAATCATCTAAGAAAGAGCTTGATGGGGTAACCTTTCCACAGCAGGATGTGCATGGTGTGCTGCACCCTGGACCACGGCCTGTTCCCAGCACCCAGTGGGCTGCAAGATGATCATCTTCATAGTGTCAGTTCTAACCAGCTACACTTTAAACCATTTTTGTTTGACAGCAGACATGATTAATGGTTGTATTCTGTTAAGAGAATCATCTAAGAAAGAGCTTGATGGGGTAACCTTTCCACAGCAGGATGTGCATGGTGTGCTGCACCCTGGACCACGGCCTGTTCCCAGCACCCAGTGGGCTGCAAGATGATCATCTTCATAGTGTCAGTTCTAACCAGCTACACTTTAAACCATGCTTTACAGTGTGAACACTTTGCTTACTGCTGGTGTGATGAACCAGAACCTCCTGCTGCAAAACAGGTGGTGAGTCTTTTGTAAATTCATTAGCATAGCAAGCAATTTATTCTTGAACTTCAGCTAATCAACAGCAGTCTTCAAAGACTGAAAACCAGATTTAGCTCCCATATGAATCATAGTTTCTTGGAACTTCCTTTTCAGTACTTTTTACTTCCCTATAAAGGACAGAAAAAGCAGGTTCTCAGGATTGCAGCACACTGGTCCAGTAAGAACCATGCTTGGAACACAACAGCCCCTGCCCAGGGACAGTAGCTGCATACCCAAGCACAGCAGAATGCAGCAAGTTTGACATGTCACTCAGTGCCCAGCTGTCAGAATTAGCTTATAGCCTGCTCCAGTTTCCCACTGTTAAGAAAAGAGCAGTTAAGGAATAAGTCCCAAGAAATGTCCCCAGTCCATGCAGAAATGATAAAACCAGATTCTTAAAATATTTTATTAAAAAGTTAGGGTTTTGGCTCTGATAAAAATTGTTACGAGCGTTTGCCTGTAACACTTGCATGTGTGAAGCTAACATGATTCAAACAAAATCTGAAAACAAAGGGCAGAAACTTAGAAGTAGCTTTGGAGTGGCTCTCCCAAAATGACTTCCAGTTGTTGAATTGTCTTCTGACATTGCTGTTCAACTTCTTCACATTCATCTAGAGAAAGGAATAAAGCAGGAATTAAGTAGAATAGTGATTACAAAAGCTACCCTGGGAAGGCTTCATCACTCATCAAGGCTAGAACCATCTTCAAACACCAGGTATGAAATAATTATTTAGAAATATTTTGTCACTGAATTAGGCAAATTATTTCTACTGTAACACCAACCCAAAACATGCAACTAGGGAGATGTGCACAGGCTACAACTACTGTAATTTAACTGAACTTTACAAGTGTGTTGGATATAATCCATTTCAGTTTGCATCCTGCACAGTTCAAGCTACCGTACACCAATACTTAAGATTTATAGCAGTTATAGCATTCAGCCTGTCTGAATGTTTGGAATAAGTCACCCTTCACTAATGCCAGTTTAAAACATTACCTTCCATAAGCTCAGCTAAGAATGGAATAGATTCTGGTAGCAGGACCAGGTAATTCTCCTTCAGTTTTTGTGCAACTTCTATCAAAGCAAGGAGAGCAGCAAATCGGACCTAAACGAAAACAACAATCTGTGTAAGGAAACAAACAACAGTATAGTTCCTTGTCCCCCTCTCCCCAACTCTTGCCTTATTTCCATCATAAATTTGTAATCTAGCTTTCATTACCAAAGGGAACTAGTTTTAAGCTAATTTAAGTACTAACATCTGGAATAAGGTAATGCCAAAGGAAAAGTAGGTTGCAAGCAGCAGGTATGTGGCTGGAAGCTACTTGATATAATGGTCTTGAACTTCCTGTTACAATGCCACCTCCACTGTATGAGGGCTTAGCTCAGCAGTATGAAAAGCCAACTACTCTCCCTGAACATGCACAACCTGTCAAATGGAAGAGTCTTGACAAAACTCCATATAATAAACAGGTCTGAAAGCTGATAAATACCTCTTCCACTGCCCCTTTCTTCATATGCAAATAGATCAGCTCTTACTCCAACAGCTACCAAATCTTTCAAAGGACTGAACCACACAGTATGAGGGACATGTGGGATACTGACTGCTTACAGTAACAGCAGAAGAGCATGTTCTATACATCTCTACAACTTGGGAGTACTACAGTACAGCACCAGTATTGTAATCTAGGCTACTATTTTAGCAATGACTTGGTTATTTCCCTTCTGGTTTTGGAGGCACTCTTCTCATTTTCTAACATATCCAAGAAAACCAGTTCAAATTCTGATAGCTCCCAACCTTAGGAGAACTGTGCCTCGTTTTCAGC